GATTTATAAACAATGGCTCCCCCCCCCCCCCCCACCATATTAATTCCTGCCTGTTGTTTCTCATTTCTGGTGTGGAATTGACCATCTTTCTGTTATTATAGAGATCGGCTGCAAAAGTAGCAAAGGCCAATTTAGGCAGCATTAACAGAAAAATAATCTCCAAATGACACAAGGTACTACTTCCCCTCTATTAGGCACTGGTGAGACCCCATTTTGAGCACTGTGTAGGGTTCTGCTTGTTAACAAGGATACAGGCACATTGGAACAGGTTCAGAGAAGAACAAGGATAATCAGGGGGCTGGAAACCAAGCCATATAAAGAAAGACTGAAAGAACAGGACATGTTTAGCCTTGAGGAAAGAACACTGAGTGGGGACATGATAGCACTTGAGAGGGGATATGATAGCATTTTAAAATACTTGAGTGTCATAGTGAGGATGGATAGGATCTGTTTTCAGTCATGCCAAAGTTCAGGATATGTAATACAGTGGTGCCCTGTATAGCGAGGTTAATCCGTTCCGGATTAAGCTTCGCTATGCGAAAACATCGCTGTACGGGGCAGGAAACGCCTATTGCGTTCCAACAGGCGCCAAAACTTACCCCTCCAGCGATGTTTTCGCGGTCCGGCAGCCATTTTAATGGCCGCGGATGACCCGAAATGGCCCCCTGCAGCGTTTTTGCGACCTCGGAAAGCAAGGGGAGGGCGCGAAAACACTGACGGGGGCCATTTCAGGTCATCCGGTGGCCATTTTGGAGCCGCCGATCAGCTGATCGGCGGCTCCAAAATGGCTGCCGGACCGCCGAAAAAACGCCCGGGGGGGGGCGGCTCCAAAATGGCCGCCGGACGCCCCAATCGTCGCAAAGCGAGTGCGGCGATTGGGGCAGCTCCGTATAGCGATTCCCAAAAAGGGATTGCTATACGGATTCTTCGTTGTGCGGTGCGCTCGTTAAGCGAGGCACCACTGTAATGGGCTCAAGTTACAGATATAGGTTGATTACCAAGAAAAACTCCTTAACTGCTAGAGCAGCAGGAGAATGGAACCAACTCTCACAGGAAATCATGAGCACTCCAACACTATAGGCATTGAAGAGGAAAACAGAAAGCCATCTTTCAGACATACTTTAACTTAGATTCGTACATTGAGCAGAAGCCTGGATTTGATAGCCTTATATTCCAGTTTCAATTCTATTTTTCTGAGTCTTCGATACAAAAAAAAAAGAGAACATCTCACCTACTTTGGAAATGTTAAACAGACTTGGAATCTGGTTATTCCCTTTTAGTCCAGAGAGAAGCAAGGAGAGATCAACTCACTTTCACCTGTCCATGAGAGAAAAGGAAAAGGATCAGTCAAAGAAAACAAACAAAAAAACCCACTTTCCCTTATACTATGCCCTTTTGCCCTTTTCATATCATGTGGAGCTACATCAACACGTCTGTCCCTTCTTTGGAGAAATAGAAAAAAGAGAATGGAAAGAAAGCTAATGAAGAAAGAACATGGAGGAAGGAAAGGAGGAGGAGAAAGAAGGGGAGGCATCTCACAGACTCTGAGGCAAAAGCTCAGCCATTGAAGTTAGCAGGGGTAGGACAGTGGTTTTTAACCTTTGTTACTCGGATGTTTTTGAACTGCAGCTCCCAGAAACCCCAGCCAGCACAGTTGGTGGTGAAGGCTTCTGGGAGTTGCAGTCCAAAACTCCTGAGTAACCCAAGGTTAAGAACCAGTGGGGTAGGAGAACAGCAGGACGTGTGTTCCCTGCTGACTCATACTGGAAAAGCAGCAGCGTGGAAGGCTGCAATTTCTCCACCTGAGAAACCATTCAAGGGAGCCAGTGAATTGTAGTTGACAAGTCAGACTAGTCACAAGTACAAAAGAACACCAACACCTTCAATGTTAGTCAATAGATTTCAAGATTACAAATCTACTGAATGGATCTCCTGCCTTTAGGAATGTCTCAGAATGGAAGCAGGAAGAGACACAATCTTCTGACGCCACTTTCTACCCCCAAGTTGACACCAACAAACCTCACACAGAACTGCCGCCTTCACTGCCGTGCTGGATTTCCATTGGTTACATCCTCCCCCCCCCCTCTGTTTTCACTTGGGCCATTACATTTTTTGCCACTATCCTGGCTGCCCTGTGTGCCAACAGGGAGTAGTGATGTGCTGTGGATGGGGGCAGTTCGTGTCTCAAGGCTTTTCCCAGTTCTTCACCTGCTCTCTTCCAACCCACACCCTGCTTAGGCGTCCCTCTTTCCCTCATAGCCAACAACCCACACCCCTCACAGGAGCTGGGGGGGGCAGACATTGTGAGGTCTATCCCTACGTAAGAGACCCAGAGGGGGGAAAAAGGCCTGCCTTACAAAGCGTTTGTGCCACGAAGGATAAAGAGGTGCAATCTTCAGCCGGGCTTGAAGCCCGCCTACACCCCCGCTCTTCCCACCCCCATATTTGCCCCCCAAAAACACACACAGACACTTCGTTGAGCACCGCGAGCGCCCACCTCATTCCAAGTCCGGCCGCGAGAGACTCCGGAAGAGGCCGCTCTGGCCGCGCGATTGCTGGAAACCATAGAGTTCAGGCACAGAGGCGCGTACCTTCCAGTTCCTGTCCGGAAGCGCCCGCGGGAGGACCTCCTTCCCTGCCTTCATAGCTCTATGTTCTCTCTCCTCCCCCCCAGTGTTTTAATGAATGTTTTTTTTTTTTCCCCCCCCCCCGTGTTTAATAAATGGGTTTTTTTTCCTAAAAGCAAAAGGGAGGGGTGTGAGCAGCCCCTGCCTTTATCTTCTCCAAAGGGAACTCCTCGGGGGGGTTGCGACGGTGGAGGGAACTCCAAGTTTTTCACTAGGGAGTGAGACGGGGGAGAAGAAATGACGCTCAGCCCCCCCCCACAAGCCAACGGTCCTTCCCAGAATCCTCAGGAGGGCCTTCCGTCATTTTTCCTAAAAGCAAAAGGGAGGGGTGTGAGCAGCCCCTGCCTTTATCTTCTCCAAAGGGAACTCCTCGGGGGGGTTGCGACGGTGGAGGGAACTCCAAGTTTTTCACTAGGGAGTGAGACGGGGGAGAAGAAATGACGCTCAGCCCCCCCCCACAAGCCAACGGTCCTTCCCAGAATCCTCAGGAGGGCCTTCCGTCAGAGCCCAAGGGGGGAGGGTTTCTCAAGTCCATTTCCTTCAAACACTGCGCATGCGCGGGAGGGTTTGCCAAGACTTGCGAGCCCGCTCTCTCGCCAGTCAAACGGGCTTTCCTCTACTTCGCCTTGCGAGGGGGGTGGGCTGTCGGGCTACTCGGAAGGGAAACTGGGAGGGGGGTGGAGGGCGAAGCGTAACAAGAGCCCCCGCGCCATCCCTGGGTTGCCCGGACTTAGGCGGCAGAAGCGGAAGGTCGGCCGTTCCTGATTTCCAAGCCCCCTCCCTCCTCGTGACCAGAAAAGAGGCTCCCGCCGTGCAGGAGACAAAAGACGCCGAGCGGGGAATAACCGCCGCCTCCGCCGCGGCCCCTTTTCCCGCCAAGCGCCCAACGGCTGCCCCCTCCCTTGGGGCCCGCGAGCTCTTTTACCTCCCATGTGTCACAGCGCATGCGCACCCTTCCCTCCTTCCCACAGAGGCTTTGGGAAAAGGCGGGAAAGCGGTGGTGGGCGAAGGGGGAGGGGCCTGCCCTGAAGGGGAAACCATCCTTTCCCCTCTCCTCCCTGTGTTACTGTGGCCCTGACGCAGGAGGTTAAAAACACAATGCAAATTAATAAAAAGCAAAAACAAAAAGCACAATACGTGGTTGCATCATAAAAGAGTCACTCATTATTTCCCCCACACAGACACCCACCCAAATTCTGAGGTGACAACTTAACCAAACAGACTAATACGGAAACTGACTGCAGGAAACCTTTATGCTCCACAGAGAAAGGCATTGAACCATCTGAAAAACAGAGTGCGGAAACATTACTCTCTTTTTGGATTAAAACTCCCAGAATTCCCCAACACAGCAGTGGCCAGGCCAGTTTGGGGCCGGGGATCCTGGGAAATTCTAGTCCCAAAATAACATTTCCTAGCTCTCTTGATAAGATACTTTACTCATTTTGAACGGTCACTCTCTGTGCAAGACATGTATCTGGCCAGTCTAGTTAATCAGGAGATTTCAAGTTCAGAAAATAACACTAGTGTTCAAAGCTTGTTGTAACAGTAGCAAGAAGGAACAAAATGGAAGTTCCAACTGACCAACAGAAATCTGTGTAAAAAGGCGATTGCATCAAAGACCAAAAAGGGTTATATGTTGTGAGCTTTCGTGGACAAGTCTGCTTCCTCAGACATACCAGAAAAAGATAATGTGGCAGATATATGTGGCATCAAAATCAGGTATCTTTCTATGGAACTCATGATCACCCCATTGCCCAGAGGAGGGTGAGGAGGCAGCCCCTTCTTCCCTTTTAAAGGGTTTGTGAATGACAGACTGACAGGGACTGACCATTAACCAGATTCTAATTCATTTTTGTGGATGAAGGAGTCAAATTAAATCATTTATATAGAAGAACAACTTAGCCTTACAGCAGTCACCTTGCCTCTGTAACTTGCTTTGCTACATGAATGTGGAAACCTATTATATCAGGTTTCTGCTTAGCAGAAATAGACACAGAAGGGAAGCCAACTGTGTTCCTTTCCTTGCAAGTACAGTGGTGCCTCTCTTAGCGATTGCCTCGTTTAATGATGTATTCGTTTAGCAATGAGGTTTTAGGAGCGATCTTGTGCTCCGTTTAGCGATGTTTCCAATGGGCGAATTTTGCATAGCGATGTTCAGGACCATGCCTCGCATAGCGATGACAGTTTAGGTCCCCCTGTTTCGCTTAGTGATGTTTTTGACAGTTCCGTTTTCGCTATTTTTAAAAGGTGTTAAATTGTCTTAAAAGGGTTTAGAGTGCTTGAAATCGTTAGTGCACTTAATAAACCATTTGTTAAACTAATTTGGCTTCGTTCTGACTCTTTTAGAATTTTTGGTGATTTTTTTTTCTCCCCCATCGAAATGCATTGAAAAGGTTTCAATGCATTCCAATGGGGGGAACCGCATTTCGTTTAGCGATGTTTTCCCACAGTGATGTATTTTTTTGCACCAATTAAAATCACTGTAACTAGTTTTCATTGGGAATTTTTCCTTGCTTACTGATAAGAGAGCATTGGTAACTAGCGCTAAGACAGGAGAGAAGAGTTATGGCCCAGAGCCTAAGCGCAAGTAACCCCCCTTTGTGCTGTCCTTCTTCACACCTCTTTGCTTCCCTCTTTTTCATCTAAAAAAGTTGCATCCATGTACTTTTGCTTCTTTTCTGCTGAAAATAAACAAATATATATTGGATCTCCTTGTCTGTTTAATTGAAAATATATCAGAGACAGGTTAATGTCCAAAAATTACTTCTGCCCCCCCCCCTTCATGGTTTTTTGAGAGAACCACAAGTAGTCTTTCTTTGCAACATCCCTTAAAACTCTGCAGCTAAATTACTATTAAGGCCTATAAGGCCACTGAATCCAAACCCCTATTTGTGCAGGAATAAAAATCAAGGGAGATCTTCCAGGTGATTGTCTAAACTTCTCTTGAATGTCTCCAGTGTTGGAGTACTTGTCATCTCTCAAGGTCATTTGTTCCATTGTCATACAGCTCTAACAGTTAGGAAGTTTTTTCTTGCTGTGCAGCTCAAATCTGGCTTCCTGTAACTTGAGCCATTGTTGTGTGTCCTGCACTCAGGAATGATCAAGAAAAGATCCTGTCCCTCCTCTGTATAACGGCCTTTCAAGTATTTGAAAAGTGCTATCATATCAACCCTCAGTCTTCTTCTCTCAAGGCTAAACATGTACAACTCTTTCAGACTTTCCTCATAAGGCATGGTTTCCAGCTCCCCGATCATCCTTGTCGCCCTCCTCTGAACTTGTTTCAATTTGTTAGAATCCTTCTTGAAGTGTGATGTCTAGAAGTGGACACAGTAATCAAGCTGAAGCTTAACCAGATCTGAATAGAGGGGGACTAGCACCTCACGAGATTTGGAAAATATACTTCTATTAATGCAGCTTAAAATAGTATTTGCCTTTTTTGTAGCCACATCATACTCTTGGTCCATATTCAGCAGTACAATGATAATTGTATTTTATTTTTATTATATACTGGAAGCCGCCTAGAGTGGTCTGGTAGTCCAGATAGGCGGGATACAAATCAAATAAATAAATAAATACCAAGATACTTCTCGCTTTTAGTATAGCTGAGCCAGGTATCTCCCATCTTGTAACTGTGTGTTGGTTTCTTTTTCCTAGGTGCAGTACTTTGCAGATCATCCTAACAGGTCCAACCTTCTGTGAAGGGGTCGTCCAAACATATATGGAGGATGTTAAAGCCATCACTCTTAGATTATCACCTCCAGTTGTAAACATCAGGCTGAATCCACCACATGCATGAGACCATTCACATTTTGGGATAGGCTGATGGATATCAGTCAGAGTGCCCTGTGTTTTGAAGAAAATGCTACTGTTAGGACAGTACTGTATATGAATTGACAGAATGGTTTCCTAAAGCGAATGTGTCAGACAAGGGTGCATTTTATTTCCTTCTGTTCAATCTGCATGCAGAACATATCATATGGAAACCTGGACTGGATTCATATGGAAGGAAGAGGAAATTGGTGGAAGGAACATCAATGATATATGATTTATCAGTAAGATAACACTATCTTACTGATAAAAAGCAGCAAAGACTTTAAATGGCTTGTAGTGAAAGTGTCAAATCAGGACAGCAGCTGAGCATTAAAAATACCAAAATCATTACTACCGAAGAATTACATAACCGTAATATATACAATTATTAAAGATTTTGTATACGGTACTTTGGTTCAGTCATCAAGCCAAAGCAAGACTGCAACAAAAAAAATTAGAAGACTAAGACCTGGAAGAGCAACAATGAAGGAATTAAAAAAATTAATCAAGTGTAAGGATATGTCACTGGAGTGAAGACTAAGATTGTTCACACTCTTGTATGTCCAGTCACCTTGTACAGGTGTGAAAGCTGGACAGTGAAGAAAATTGATTTGTGTGAAATATGGTGCTGGAGGAGATGTTTGCAAATGAAACTAGCATTGTTGTGCTTTGGGCCCATCATGAGAAGGCAAAATTCATTGGAAAAGACAATGATGCCAGGAAGAGTTGAAGAAAGCAGAAAAAGAGGAAAATCAAATGTGAGCTGGATTGATGTCCATCAAGGAAGCCACGGGCTTGAGTCTACAAGAACTGAGCAGGGCTGCTGAGGACAGGGCATTTTGGAGATCACTCATTCCTAGGGTCGCCGTAAATTGGAATGACCTGATGACACATAACAACATCAACAAGCACACAAAAACTTGACAGAAGATGTTTTTATTTGTTCACCAGCGATGGAATTGGTGCCACCTCAGAAGTGATTATATTGTGTGAGCCAGTGCCCAGATCTGATCACTCAACATAAGCAGGTTGGCTGGCATTCTCTTAGCCTGTTCTATGCACGTAAAGGTTAGTTGCACGAGCAGGTGGACTTTTAGTGAGGTTACAGAAAGAGGTATCCACTGCCTCCGTTTACCCTATTCTGTTCAGTACGGCTTGTATCGTGGGAAGTCAGACGCTGCATGGAGAGCATAACACATCCAGGTCATTATGG